GGTTTGGAATGGATATGAGCAACACATCTTGAAGAACAACAGTTACAAAGGTGAGTAACCATCTTTTCTTCTTCGAGTGCTTGCTCATATCGATTCTAATTAGGTGACTACCAAGCCTTACCTAGGCGGTGGGGTCGGAGTGAGACATCGCTGTGTGCAAAACCGCTGATCCGAATGCAGCATCGTCTCTGGACTGCTGTACCAGCGCATAGTGAGCAGCGAAGGTGTGGACCGATGACCAAACCGCTGCTTTACAAATGTCCTGGATTGGGACATGAGCCAGGAAGGCAGTCGAGGAGGCTTGGGCCCTCTTGGAGTGGGCAGTGAGGCGCGGCGTCGGGACACCGGCCAGGTCGTAGCAAGCACGAATGCAGGACGTGATCCAAGAGGAGAGGCGTTGTGAGGAGACCGGTAAGCCTTTCATCCGGTCGGTCACTGCAACGAAGAGTTGTGTCGTCTTCCTAAATGGCTTTGTACGCTCAATATAGAAAGCCAGGGCCCTGCGTACGTCCAAGGAATGCATACGCTGGTCTCGACGGGTAGCGTGCGGCTTAGGATGGAAGACCGGGAGAAATATATCCTGGTTCACATGAAAAGCTGAAACTACCTTGGGGAGAAAGGCAGGGTGGGGGCGGAGCTGCACCTTTTCTTTGTGGAAAACTGTGTATGGAGGCTCAGACGTGAGCGCCCTGATTTCAGAAACGCACCTTGCTGAAGTGATGGCTATGAGGAAGGCTGTCTTCCAAGATAGGTACAGGAGTGAGCAAGTAGCCAATGGCTCGAACGGGGGCCCTGTGAGCTTGGAGAGAACCAGGTTGAGGTCCCATGCCGGCACGGGTTGTTGTTGCTGTGGGTACAGCCGGTCTAAGCCCTTGAGGAATCTGACGACCATTGGGTTAGAGAAGACCGAGGAAGCGAGTTCTCCTGAGTGGAAAGCCGATATAGTGGCCAGGTGCACCCTGATTAAAGATATCGCCAAACCCTGCTGTTTCAAGGGTAGGAGATATTTGAGTATAAAAGGAATAGACGCCTGCAAGGGGGGCATGGCCCGGTCCTCGCACCAACAGGAGAACTGTTTCCACTTGGCTAAGTAAGTGGTCCGTGTAGCAGGCTTTCTACTTCCCAGCAGAATCTGCTGCATGGGATGTGAGCATTGTAGCTCTGTCCGATTCAGCCATGGAGCATCCACGCCGTGAGGTGGAGCAATTGCAGGTCGGGGTGACAGAGTCGGCCGTGGTCCTGAGAGATGAAGTCTGGGCACAAGGGAAGCGTCATCGGAGTTTGAACCGATAGCTCCAGAAGCATGGTGTACCAGTGCTGCCTTGGCCAAGCTGGAGCGACTAGAATCATACGTGCCTGGTCTCTGCGTAGCTTGAACAGTACCCTGTGGACCAGTGGGAATGGAGGAAAAGCGTAGAACAGCTGGTCTTTCCACGTCAGAAGGAAAGCGTCCGACAGGGAGCCCGGAGATCGCCCTTGTAGGGAGCAGAACGCGTGGCACTTCCTGTTGGCTCGAGATGCGAACAGGTCGACCTGGGGAAATCCCCACCTCTGGAAGATGGAATAGATGATGTCTGGACGAATCGACCACTCGTGCGTCTGGAAAGACCTGCTGAGACGGTCCGCTAGAGTGTTCTGGGCTCCAGGGAGGAACGATGCCGTGAGATGTATCGAGTGGACAATGCAGGACTCCCACAGGTGAATGGCCTCTTGGCATAGGAGAGACGACCGGGCTCCTCCTTGCTTGTTGATGTAGAACATGGCCGTGGTGTTGTCTGTGAGGACTGACACACAACGGCCATGCAAGAGACCCAGAAATGCCTGACAGGCTAGGCGCACCGCCATCAGCTCTCGAACATTGATGTGCAGAGCTAGTTGGGATGCGGTCCACAGGCCCTGGGTATGGTGCTCCCTGAGGTGAGCGCCCCATCCTAGAGATGAAGCGTCTGTGACCAGGTGCAGGGAGGGTTGTGGGGCGTGAAACGGCACTCCAGCGCAAACGCCTTGTGATCCAACCACCAAGTGAGAGAGGTCAAGACCGAGTTCGGAACCATGACCACCAGGCTCAGGTTGTCCCAATAAGGGCGGTACACCGACGATACCCAGGCCTGAAGTGCGCGAAGCCGAAGTCTGGCATGCCTGGTTACGTAAGTACAAGAGGCCATGTGTCCCAACAGGCCGAGGCACGTCCTTATTGTAGTAATCGGGAAGACCTGGAGTCCGTGGATGATGTTTGTGATGGTGTGAAACCGAGTGTCTGGCAGAAGAGCTCGGGCGAGTCTGGAGTCTAAGACTGCCCCGATAAACTCTATTTTCTGGGTTGGCTCTAGAGTGGACTTCTCCTTGTTGAGCTGCCTAACTCGTGGAATGTTTGCAGTATTATCTGGACGTGAGCTTGAACTTGCTCCCTGGTGTGGCCGCGCACCAGCCAGTTGTCTAGATACAGGAACACCTGTATCCTCTGTCAACGAAGGTATGCTGCCACGACAGCCATACATTTTGTGAACACTCTCGGAGCCGCGGACAAGCCGAAGGGAAGGATGGCAAATTGGTAGTGCATCTCGTTTACTACAAATCGAAGGAAGCGCCTGTGTGGGGGGTAGATTGCTATATGAAAATATGCGTCCTTCATGTCGAGGGTGGCGAACCAGTCTCCAGGATCCAGGGAGGGGATGATGGACCCCAAGGAGACCATGCGGAACTTCGAGGCGGGGGAGGGTAGAATCTTTGCAGCTGGGGCCTAAAGGGTCTGCGCTGGGGCCCTGGGACATGCATCCCCAGGGAGCGCATGATAGTTCTCGAGTCCTTGAGGCTCTGCAATTGAGAGTCCGTCTTATCCGAGAACAGTCCCTGGCCCTCGAACGGTAAATCCTGCAGGGTCTGCTGCAGTTCTTGCAGCAAGCCCGAAACCTGGAGCCAGGAGACATGTCGCATGGCTATGCCCGATGCTAGAGTCCTGGTGGCAGAGTCCGCTATGTCCAAAGAGGCTTGCAAGGAGGTCCTAGCCACCTTCTTACCTTCCTCCACTACGGCCCCGAACTCCACTCTTGAGTCCTGGGGAACCAACTCTTTGAATTTACCCATGGAGTTCCATGAGTTGTAACTGTAGCAGCTCAAGAGCGCCTGTTTGTTAGTGGCTCTGAGCTGCAAACCCCCGGCGGAGTACACTTTACGCCCGAACAAATTGAAGCGTTTAGCGTCCTTCGATTTGGGCGCTGCCGCCTGCTGGCCATGACGCTCTCTTGCGTTCACCGAGGACACGACCAGTGAACACGGTGGAGGGTGCGTATATAAGTACTCATAGTCCTTGGATGGGACGAAGTATTTTCTTTCTACCCCTCTGGCTGTGGGTGGAATGGAGGCAGGGGTTTGCCATATGGTAGTGGCATTAGCCTGAATCGTCCAAATCAGTGGTAATGCCACCCGGGATGGGGCATCAGCTGACAGGATGCTCACCACCAGGTCCTGCACCTCTACTATCTCCTCCGCCTGGAGGTCCCTATTACATGCCACCCTACGTAATAGGTCCTGGTGGGCACGAAGATCTATTGGGGGCGGGCCCGAGACTGATGTGCCCACCACCGCCTCATCCAGGGAAGATGAGGAGGATGCCTCCGGGGGCAAGGGGTCCAAAGGGGGGTCCGGCTCTCCCTGAATCGGAGGGTCTCCTGCCCCCGGGGTCTAGGGCCTGAGGTGTAGGCAAGGGAGGCTCCATGCCCCCTGGGGGAGGACGGGAGATGGTAGCTCCGGGACTCTGGGCTCGGAGCGTGCCGAGCGAGAGGCTGATGGTGGAGCCCCTTGCGCTTGGTGATACGCCCACGGAGTCCAGAAAGACCAATGTGTAGAGTCCTGCGCAAGGTCCTCTGCCCCCTCCTGCCAGTGACCCAAGTCAGCGGCAGCTTGACCCTGAGGAGGGTATGCTAATCGCGAAGCGCCGTCGGAGGAGCGAGATGCTGATCTCAAGGGCCAAGGTGGTGCCGAACGCGTTTGAAGGGGCTCCATACGATACGGTGCCGATCCGCAGGCGAGCGGTCCCCGCGCGGTGCTGGTGAGCGGTACCGTGATTGAGATCGGTGCCGAGATCCAGATCTGGACCGAGATGACGACGACCGCCTGTAGACGTGGTGCCGGGAGCAGCCCCTTGAACTGGAGCGGTGCTCATACTGGTGCCAAGAGCTACGTCGCAACTCCGATCGGTACCGATGATCCCGACGGTGCCGAGACGTAGATCGGTGCTGTGAAGAGGACGTAGGCCGCGAGTACGACCGGTGCCGGGGTGAAAGTCGGCGCCAGGACTGCGAGCGGCGTCGGGACCTGCTCTGAGACCTGGAGCGGTGCCGCGAGTCCACGCTCGGAGACGGCTGGCGTACCAGGGCAGGCTTGCCCCTGGATTGCACTGACCGAAGGGCGGGCGGTGCCGCAGGTTGCGGTAAGAAGGAACTGAGGGGGCGCTGGGTCGGCTGGGGGTATATATCCGGCGCCATGAAGGCGCCACTCCAGGGGGCTCCACAGCCGACCCACTGGGTGTTGCTAGGGTAGAAAATTTATCTGACGATCGTGCACGCGGCGCGCGCACACCTAATTGGAATCGATATGAGCAAGCACTCGAAGAAGAACCACTATTGCTTATTGCTAAAAGTAGCCAAGTCATCAGGCCGTAAATTGGCCTTAGCTTAACCAAGGCAGGAGGGGAGGGAGTTTTGGGTGCCACAGAAAGGGCAGCTTGACCCCGCGTCCTTCCTGCTAATAATATTGAAATTGCTGATATATATATCTTAGAAAAACAGTCTATATGTGCCCTCAGGAATGTGTCTGTCAGGGCCTCAAGGCATGCACACTCTGGAAAAAAACACATCTGGTTAATGGATGATTAGAAGAAAACCTCTTGCTTGACCTTTAAAAATTGCTTGCTTAGCAAGTTTTCTTTAAGTGACATGTCATTGTATTACTAATGTATAAATTAGGGGCAAAAGTTTGAGGTAGTTGGACTCTCCTGGAGGGTCTCTTCAGGGACTATCTCTCTGGACGCATCTTGTGGTCCCCACCGGCAGATGGAAGTTTGGCCAAGGGAAGACTGTCGCTGTGCCACTCGAGAGCCACACTCAGCTTCGGTAATTATTGAGGGTTGGGGGTGTTTTACTAACCTGTTGCAGACATGTGCAAGTGCTTGAGACTAAGTAAAGTTTATCGTTAAGTGAAAACACTCTTGTGTTGTCCTGTTGGTGACAGCCATCTATCGGTTGGACGGCCATGTCTCCCTTAATTTATTTCCTGACACCACCTCGCACAGAGTAAAAGTTACCAAGAGCTTTGGGTTGAAAGAACCCCGGATAACAAGAGGGACCATGTACCTCCCCCTAAAGAGCCAGACTTCAGTGGTGATAAAACCCAGCTGGGCTATGAACTGGAATGAGAACTAGGTGGGAAGTTCAGAGCAGCAAGGAAAGCCTAGAGGGGAACTTGAGAAGACAGGTAGGAAGTGCCCAGGGAAAACTGCAGCAAAGAGAAAGGAGCAGACCTAGCTGTTGGGTACAGGGCCCTGGGCTGCTACCAGTGTCAGGGTGGGACTGGGTTCCCCTACTAGCCCCAAAGAAGGGGGTGTACATGCACCCAGAAAGGGTTACCAAGCCCAGAAAGGGGGCTGCAGGCTGAGCAAGAGCTCCAGCGAGGGCAGAAGGACTTCTTTCCGTGGGAAAACCTCTTTGGACTTTTCGTGTGAGACAAGCTGTGCCCCAGAAGCGTAGGGAAGTTTCCCTATATAAATGTTCATTTATGTTCATGTTGATGTCTATACTGAATGTAATTTGTTTTCAACGTATAGTTATAAGGAATGTGTTAATTAAAGTAACATGGCTAATGGACCCTTTGATTCAAAAGGGAGTCTGCACAATTAACAACTCTGACTCCATATTTGTCGCCCTTCTTCTTGTCACTTGTGGTGGGAAGGAGTAACGGCCACTAGGGGTCCAGTTCAGACCAGTTCAAACCTGGAATGTTCGCACCATAGAATATATAAAAGGACTGCGTGCCCAAACTGACTGGCTGTTCATCTGAGAGGCAGCTGGTATCAGACTTGTTTGTGTGGGCTTCGAGGAACACCTCTATGGATCAAGATCTACCCCATCAATCTGAACGCCATTTTACACCTGAGTCAACGTCATCCAACACCTGGATTATGTTGGGATAATTGAAATAAGAAATACAAAATGGAGTCTGTGATATGTGACTTCAGAACTCCATCCTTGTTTACCTCAGGGGCACTGACTCTAAGCTAGCCCCAACTGGTCAGGACTGGATTTTCCCGCCCAAATCCCTAAAGGTTCTATCAACTCAGACTTGCTTGGCATCGCTATTTGGAACAGTCCAATTTTTCCTGCCTTAATATCTATAAAAGACTGACCCCTGTGTGGATGCAGGGCTGTCCATCTGAGCAGCAGCCTCTGCGCGGTGCAGTATGGGTCTCATCGTGGTTCCGACCATATCAACGAGAGTGACACCTATCCCGAAGACACCGGAGAAGACCTTCAACACTTACCTTATTCTGCTGTTCCATCTCCGGAGGGCTTCTCTTCCACGGAGATCACCATACATCTGATGGAATCCTCAGAATTCCTCCTTGACGGCTTTCCACTAGCATGATAGTTGAGGTCCTGAGCATCACCACTGCACACAATTCAGCATCTAGATTAAGTAGGAAGAAATCAATCTCTGTTATAGGGTACTTGACCAAGGGAGGAATTTATCTGAGTCTGGGCTTTATGCCCCATTGGAAGTCACTGTCACGATTGTTATTGGTTGTAATACTGGTTTGTGTTTGTGGTTTTCTCCCTTCCCTATTAACTGTATTCTTATCCCTAATACACATCTCTTTGCTTTTACCTTACTTACCTGTCTCCTCTTTATTAAACACCACACCATACCTGGTCAATATTGATCCACTGGGTGATTAGATACCAGAGTGGGTTATATCTGCACTTCTGAGAAAAAGGGATATCCATTTTCTTTCCCTCTACCACACCTGATTTATTCTAAGAGTTACCTTTTTCATCCTTTAAGGTAACAGGATCAAGATCTACCCCATCTATCTGGACGACATCTTACACCTGAGTCAACGTCATCTAACACCTGAGACAACCTCCCTAATTCTGGTTCCAGAGTTGCTGTTTCCTGGTTCCTGTACTTGGATGGTTCGGTGTTCCTCCTGCCCTCAGTCATAAGGGCTGCGCAGTCAGTCATAGGTCCAAGATCCAATGAACCTGAGCTGCAAGGACAGATATCACCATCAGCTGCCTAATCGAGACTAAGGTCATCCGTCATCACACAGTATATTTTGGAGTGTTTTGTTTAGGATTTATTCTGTTGGAAGTTATTGCCAAACGGGTTGTGAGAGACCAGGCTTCATGCCTACCTTTCTGGGGCAACCACAATTGCATGTTATCGCTTCCTTAATACATCTTCTTCGTGTTTTTGAAGAATCTCTCTCTGTCTTTTCTTCATTAAAGTTAAGAGGGCGGCGGGAGGAACTGACATCTCTACTCCACAGGTGATAGATACTGTAGGCCAGCTCAACTACCTGACCTCTATCTACTAGTTTGAACGTAATGGATTCTGGTGACCACGGCAGGACTGGCAGAGGAGTAGCTAACCTTTGTCAGCCCTGACCTACTGATTTTGTTTAGTTTACCTTTTTATTTTGCATTGTGGTTGCAATCGGTCCAGCGACTCGGGGAGGGAATTCTACAGAGGGGAGATATGCGGTTGGGATAGATCTGTGGGCAAGCAGGTGCCAGCTCAAATAGTTTCGTGGGCCTGACTTGTGGGCAGACATCGGGCTGTTAGGTGACTAAGGTTGCTGCTGCCCTTTCCAAAGCACCTGGCAATTGGGACTAGTGACCCTTTGAGGTTACCGGAAGGTAGTCCCGGGGAATTGCCTCACGAGGTGGTGAGGAGCAATCCCGTTTTGGAGGGAGCTGACTTTCCTCACAAGTGGGAGAAAGCAGTCTTGGAAAAAGTCTCAAGTTTCAGGGAGAGGCTTGGCCAGCCGTCCATCCCGGGGAAACTGAACAGTGGCACCTTACAAGCTAATTCCCTGCTTGTGCCATTAAGGGATCTTGGCTCACAGGAGTCCGTGTACACGGCTGCAGCTAGGGTCCTCAACAGGGCCTGGGGAGCTGTCAGCAATAGTGAACTTTACTGTGTTGGTTGGTGATAAGATGACTAAGAAGATGTAAAAAGTCTTCAGGATCTCGGGCTGGACAAGGCAGCTTAATAATACCTCACTCAAGTACTGCGTGTCATTATTCGAGAAAGGGCAAAACCCATGGCAGGAGGGGTTGTTCTCTGGGGAGGACTCCCTCCAGAAGTTAAGCAAAACATGGGAAAGGTACATGGTGTCAGTGGCGCCAACTTTCTCCGGTGCTGGTGGGTGCCTGCGTCCCCCCGCCCCTTTCCCCGCCTCTGGTCCCGCCCGACTCCACCCCATCCCCACCCCAGGCCCTGCCCCCATTCCAACCCCATCCCCAAAGTCCCCACCCTAACTCCGCCCCCTCCCTGCCCCTATTGGATCCCTTCCCCAAATCCCTGCCCCGGCCCCACCTCTTCCCCCAGCGTGTGGCTTTCCCCCTCCTTCCCCCTCCCTCCCTGCCCCACGAATCAGCTGTGAGCTGGGAGGGAGGAGAAGCAGGATGCGGCGGCACGCTCGCGGCAGAGGAGGAGGTGAGTTGGAGCAGGGGAGCGGGGCGGGGCCATGGGGAGCTGCTCAGCACCCACCAATTTTTTTCCATGGGTGCTCCAGCCCCGGCGCCTATGCATGGTGTGCAAACCACAACCTAAAAAGAAAGCACAAAAAAAGGCTCTTATTTACAGTCTAGCCATGGTGAGCAAGGAGCTTGACAAACAAGTAAAATTGCTTGAAGACTCAAATGATCAAGCTCAAAATAAATTAGTGAGTAAAGATCTGGACTTAGAAAAGCGGTGATGAAACACAATGCCGCAGCTGCTCAAGTTACTAACCAAACTATGCAGCTCACACAGTTGGAAGAACAGCTGCTAGACCTTAACAAGAAACTGATGACAGCTGAGAGGGAAAACTTTGTCCTCAGTAAAAAGCTAGAGGATTCCCAGGCCACTGTAAGGCAGCTGTTAAAAGAAGCAAGACAGTCTGGTGAGCGCAGTGCTAACCATGATGCCTGCCAGAAGAAGCTGCAGAAGCTAAAATAACAGCTTAAAAAATCATAAGGGGTAATTCATGCCACTGAGGCAAACCGTCTGGCTGGATTTGCCTCTGATGGGTCAGAGTCAGATGCAGGCTGTGAACATGAAGGGTTACCACCAAGCTACTCAGAGTATAACGGCTCATTACCATTGGCCCCATCAGCCATGAAGAGAGCCAGGAAGGGAGTCAGTGCCCCCAGTTTGCTCCAATAACTACCACAGTGGTTCAGTACGGCCCAAATCAGCCACAAGAGGCAAAATATGAGATTAAGATTTTGTCTCCAGAACAAGTGAGAACAATCAGGAAGCAAATGGGTCCCCTTAATAAAGAAAGTGCATTTGATTGGCTTGCTCAGCTGAATAGTACTCCTAATCTCAGCAAGGAAGATGTGGTGACTGTTGTAAAAGAGTGTACGGATGGTGATGATTTCAACGCATTGCCCCACAAAATACCTATGGGCAACGTTAATGAAATGATTAACATTTATTTGGGGGTAATTAAATTGTTTTCCCTTATGAAAACCCGAAGGGGAAAGCATACTCAGAGAGACAGAAGCCCTCTGAGCGTCCTGAGAGATATTTAGCCAGAAAACGACTTTTATACTGGCTCACTGGGTTGGCTCCTGTGGTTAACAGGATAGTCAGTTATGACGCCCCTGAAATCCATGAGCTTTATGTACAAGGTTTGTTGCCAATGATAAGACTGGCAATGGGTCCAGTGAATTCACATGTGGTAAGCCTCAGGGAACTAGAGGCTAGGGCCCGTGAAGCCTATGAACTGGGTAAGGAAGCTTGGATCAGGTGGAAAAAAGCAGCATTTAACGCCACTGCTAAAAATGCAAGGAACAAAAACCCTAATAGCAACAAGGTTAATTCCAATTATAGAGGGAAAAAGCCCTTTAATAAGGAAGGGTTTAAAGAGTCTCCAACACCAAGAGTCCCAAATACAGATGGTGTGTTTCAAGGCACTCCTGAGGAGTTGCAGGTGTTCAGAAACGTGTTATGGAGAAGGGTATTAAAACATGAGCCATGGGCCCTGTGACAAGATGTTCAATATAGTATGGCGGGTCCTGCGCTTTTCTTGGTGGGGGGGGGGGGCTAAAATACCACCCCTTACCCCTGCTCTTGGGGCACTGAGGGCCCCACTAGTGACCCAGGAAGGTGGTAAAGGAGGGAAGCGGGGGGAGGGGTCTGGGTTTGCTCCTCACTCTGAGTCCCAGCCCCTCTCAACCCCTGCAGGTTCTTACCCTCTTCTCCCTTGGGTGAGGTATCTTCAGTCCTTAAATGCTGGGGGAGGGAATGTCCCTCCCTTGCTGGGGCAGGGTCTCCCTTACTCCGGTTTTCTGTTCCTCCAAGTCTAACAGCACACCTCCAAGCTCCAGTCCTCTCTCTCCTTCCTCCTTCCCCCTGACTGCCTGAAGCAGGGGGTTTTATTAGGTTTCTAACAGGGCCTTAATTGATTACAGGTGCTCCAATAAACCTGTAGCAACCCTCCCTAGTCTACAGGGAACCATGCCTTAATTAACCTAGGGTTTATATACTTCCTTTCTACCACTTCCCACTGCTTCCTGGCCCTCCTGTATCACATATCCCCCTCCCCTGCTCAACGCCATGGGGTTGGGCTACTTGAGACAAAAGACAGTGTTGTCATGATAGGCAGTCCACGTTGCTGTGTTGGCTGCCGGCTCTATGCTGGATCCGGAAGTGAAAAGGTTGTAGGGACAGGAACCATCTAGTTACTCGTGCATTCCTCTCCTTATTTGTGTGCATCCATTGGAGAGGGGCGTGGTCCGTCACAAGGGTGAACTGCCGCCCAAGTAGGTAGTACCGTAGAATCTCCATGGCCCATTTAATTGCTAGGCATTCCTTTTCTACTACGGCGTACCGTTGCTCCCTGGGCAGGAGCTTTCAGCTGAGATAAAGGATCGGATCCGAGGCGGCTGTAGGATGAATTCCTTTGTGAAATCTGGGGCTATGAGCACTGGATGGCTGCAAAGGGCTGTCCTTAGGTCTTTGAAAGCTTCCTCTGCTTCCTCGGTCCATTTAACTATCTCTGGGCCCCGAGCTCTTATTAGGTTCGTCAGAGGCGCTGCCCTTGTGGTGAAGTGAGGGATGAACCGGCGATAGTACCCTACTATCCCTAAGAATGCTCTGACTTGTTTTTTTCAGATTGGGTGGGGCCATTTCTGTATTGCCTCCACTTTGTTCCACTGGGGCTTCACCAGGCCCCTTCCGACTACATACCCGAGATATCTGGCCTCGGCTAGCCCTATTGCACATTTGGATGGGTTAGCGGTGAGGCCAGCCTGTCTACGAGTATCTAGTACCGCTTCCACTTTCCCCAGGTGTGTCTCCCAGTCAGGACTATGGATTACCAGGTCATCTAAATAGGCAGAAGCATACTTGGCATGGGGTCGAAGTAATCTGTCCATCAATCTTTGGAAAGTTGCGGAGGCCCCATGGAGCCCAAAATGGAGGACGGTATATTGGAAGAGGCCGTCAGGTGTAGAGAAAGCGGTTTTTTCCTTGGCGTCCTCAGCCAGGGGGATCTGCCAGTAGCCTTTTGTCAAGTCCAAGGTGGTCAAGTATCGGGCCTTGCCTAACTGATCCACCAGCTCATCAACACGTGGTATCGGGTAGGCATCGAATTGGGATACCTCATTTAACTTCTGAAAGTCATTACAAAACCTCAGGGTGCCATCAGGCTTGGGGACCAAGACAATAGGGCTGGATCACTGGCTGTGGGATTCCTCAATCACCCCAAGTTCCAGCATCTTCCTTACTTCTGCCCTAATTTCTTCTCTTTTTGCCTCCGGTATGCGATATGGTTTTATGGTCACCCTTGCTCTGGGACAGGTGACAATGTGGTGTTGGATCAGCGTCATATGGCCTGGTTGTGTGGAGAACACATCTTGGTTCCGCTGGATCATTTCAATGACCTCTGTTCATTGTTCTGGGGCTAATTCGGGGGATATCCTTACCTGCCCTTGTGGGCCATCTGCCTGGGGTGTGGCCGGCAGGATGGCCAGGCATGTCTCCCGATGGTGCCAGGGTTCCAGTAAGTTGACATGATAGATCTGCTCTGGCCTTCAGCGGTCTGGCTGCTTTACCTTATAATTCACCTCCCCAACAGCTTCCACGATCTCATAGGGTCCATGCCAACTGGCCAGGAGCTTACTTTCTGCTGTTGGTACCAGCACCAGCACCCGTTCTCCTGGTTGAAATTTCCGTGGTTTTGCCCGACAATTGTAGTAGGTTC